AACAACAAAAAAAAAAAAAAAGAGAGAAAAAAGAAGTGAAATGTGAGGGCAAGAGAAAACCGCTCTCGTTAAAATGGCAAGGAGCTTCCTCAGCCCCGCTTTGCATTTCTCTCCTCCTCATCCTGAAGGTATAAGCCCTCAGGTCCGTGCTTTTCCCGAACTGAGCGCCTTATTAGAGAACAACCCACCCCCCCACCCCCCAACAAACAAAAAAACCAAAAACAATACCTAAAAAATAATAGCACTAAAAAGGAGGGCTGGGGAGCCGACCTCCCGGCTGGGCAGGGCACTGCTCCTCCAGGACGCGGCCGCGGGCGGCTGCGAGCCCATGCGTTATAATTCTGCGCACTTGCTCCAGACTTTAGGGTATTAGTTGATTTTAGAGCCGGGTTTAAGGCTCCGTTCCGGTCCCCACACAGCTGCCTTGTCAATAAGGATCTGTTCCAAGCAGACATTCCTTCTGGGAGGACATTGCAGCTCTTTAAGACTTCATCTGCAACATCATAAGTACTAAAATAAAATGGCAAGGGAAAATTACCAGACACATGGTCATGGGATATAGCAGCGCCCTGACTCCAGCGTACATAGTAAAGCCACTGTACAGACTGGGTGGCAGGGGCTTATTTTAAACAGCCCCCAGACGCGAAGTACGTGGGAAAAAAGACACAACAATCCGGATTTAGGAAAATATCGGGACCGGCCTTTCCCATATCGTATCGCGGGCAGCGGGAGGGCCGGCGGCCCCGGCTCGGAGCCCTTCCCCGAGCTGCTCTTAACTTTGAGCGTTTAAAGTCAAATCAATCCGAATGACTTCAGCGAAGACAAACGGGGTTTAAAGAGCCCCGCGATGGTTATTAGCACCCGCGGAGCGAACTCGTTCTCGGATCAAAAGCGTTCTGGAGTGTGCTTAAAATACTGGTTTCGACTTATCTAATCAAAGATAAATACAGCCATAAAGACACCCTCTTCCCACCGCTCCCCTGCCCTTATCTCACCGCATTGTCCTCATCTCCCAGCCCGTCCTTGCTCCTGACAACAGATTATCTTTGCCGAGGGAGCCTAATTGTTTTCTAATTTTTAAAATAATTGCTTTTGAGCGAGGTGTGCAAATGAGGCTTAGGCTAATTGAAGCCCCGCCGGTCGGTGCAGCCTCGAT